CCCGCTGCTCTTGGGGCCTGGCCCTGGGCCCTGCTGTCCCCTGGGAGTTTAGTCCTTTTTCCCATGACCCCTTCACTCCATACGCCTGCTGCCCTGGCCTTGGACCCCAGCCCCTGGCGGCTTCTGAAGGGATTGTACTTGGCTCCTGGCCCTGGGATGTTTGGAGAGGCCTATGCTCCCACTTCTGTGCTGGAACGGACTGGGCTGCCCACTTTGCCCACAGATGGCCGGGCCTCAGACAGGCGCTGGGAGGAAGGGTCGGGCACGGCTGCCTGGGAAGGGCTCAGAGCCCAGGGGCCAGGAAGTCGCTGAGTGCAACGCCACCACACCATATCAATGCGCCCTCTGCCAGACCTCCACCCAAGCCCTGCCCGCCACCCGCAGCATGTCCCTTTGGTCTGGTGGCTTCCTTCCCAGATGGTAAGTGGGCTTCTCCGTGGTCCCGGATCTGGGATCTCACCTGGCTTTCGGCTGAGACTGAGAAACAGTGGCAGCAAGGCTCCGTGGCGTCCCCCAGCGGGCACTGTCCAGCATGGTCCTGCAGGTCTCGGAGGGCGGCACCCCTTTGTCCGCTGGGGAGGCGGGCACTGGGCTGCGTAGGTGGATGGGGCCGCGTCTGCCCAGCCTCCTGCTGGCTCTGGTCTGGAGGTGCAGCCCACCAGACTGCAGGGCCATTCACGGCTGGCCTGCGTCCCTGCCCCAGGCCCCTCTGCTGGGTTGTGGAGCTCGGCCAGCTGGCAAGGGCTGAGCTATAATTACCTCTCCCCTTTGGCAGAAATAGCAGTGACCCCCAAGGAAAGTCCACTGGCCCCAGGGCAGGAGAGGACATGGCTGTTCCCCAGGCCCCGAGGACACAGGCCAGGCCTGCAGACAAGACGATGGTCTGGTGGCCCCTCCCAGGCCGATCCTGGAGCTGCACCCACGGACTGGGGTCAGAGGTGGGGAGGTGGGGGTGGGGGCTGGGAGGGGTGTGTGCTGACCACAGAGTCCAGCTCCTAGTTAGACTCTGCCCCAGAGCGGAGCCCTGTGGTGGAGAGGGGCCCACCCTGCGCCTAGCCCCCACCTGTCGTGTTTGGGGTTTCAGTAAGATTAGGAAAGCACGAGTTCCAAGCTGACAATTAGGTGCACACTGGCTGAACCCCAGTATTGCCCCTGCCAGTGGGGCAGAGTCCAAGTCAGCGGGGGTGGCAGGATGAGGGGTCCAGCACTCCCAGGGCCCTCCTGGGGCCTGGGGGCTGAGGGCGTTTGGCTTCCAGTGCCAGCCACTCCGCCTGGCAGGTTCCAAGCTCACCCCACATTTGTTGATAAGGAATGCGCAGCTCAGGAAGGGGAGGCCAGTTGCCCAAAGTCACACAGCCAGGAGGTGGCAGGCCTGGCTTGGTCTCGGTACCCCTCAGGCAGCCCCCCATCTCCTGGTGCCTGTGTGACAGCCCTGATTGAGCCAGATCTGGGAGAGGTGCTGCCTGAGGCCTTGGCAAAGGGTGAGGCAAGTGTGGGCAGCCCCCTGATGGGCTTGTCCGGTTCCAACCTATTGGGGGCTGCCGAGCCCCTGCCCATGTCTCCCCTCTCTCCATTAGGAGTGGAGGAGGGTGTCTCACTGGGTAAGGCCACAGGGCCCCCTAAGGCCCCCAGGGTATGCCAGGCTGGGAGGGGCAGTGAGCAAAAGGTCCCTTGAGGGCCATGTGTGGCCTGGAACCCACCACTGTTCACGCTCTGTGGGGAAGTTGGCGAGGGGCTCTGGGGGCTGGCACCCCCCTCCATGCTTGGGTAGGGCAGCAAACGCCCCTGGTGATGGCCACCCCCCTTCCCCATGCACCCCTCCCCCCCTACGCAGCTCTGCGTTGCCCACCGGCCCTGTGCCAGGCCCCGGGGACACAGTGAGTGACATGGACTCCCTGCTGTTGCACAGCTGCTGTCCCTGGGAAAGCAGAGGACACCCAGTGGCTGTGTGGCCCTGACGGCCGTGGAGAGAAAGATCTTCACTATAAGGCAGTGGCTCATGGGTCATGGCAGCTGAGAGGCCCCAAGTCTGCCCCCAGCCGGCCGTGTGATTCCAGCTGGAGCCCAGAGGCGGGAGACCTGTGCTTCGCCGGACTGTCAAGTGGAGAGCGAACTCTCCTCACTCTGCCTTTTGTTCTGTCCAGGCCCCCACGGACTGGCTGGCGAGGTCACCCATC